AAGGTAATTATTTATCTCTACTTAGTGGCCCGCTGGAATCCTGGAGCCCCTTCAGCCCAAGAATTTAACGTGAACCTCCACCACCCCTTCCCCTTCTCCTCTTTGCAAAGATGAATGAAGGAAGCATTCATCCAGGGCAGAGTGATAGCCTACTCTGTGTTCTCACAAGGCAGGGAGACTTCACAGGGGAGGGGGACAGTTATCTTGGGGTTTGCAGAGGCCCAGTGTCACCACAGGGACAGCATCTGAGGGAGGCAGGAGGGTGGCTGGAGAAGGCGGCCGGACCCCGAGGGACTGGCTCTGCACCGCAGGGATAGCTGGGAATTGAAGTTGGAGAGACCCCGGAACCGTTCTCCCCTGGAGCCTCCTGACGAGACCTTGCCCACGCTTGTGCTTAGCTAGGAAAAGACCCTCTCCGGGTGTACGGCTTCCTCAGCTGTGCTGTTGGAAGCCTGCAGTGTTGGAAGCCACCAAGTCCTCCGCCCTTCTGTAGCCTGGAGCGCACTCATCTACCTTGGCCTGGTTTCTGGCCTCTGGCTGCATTAGCTCATGCTGGGGTAGGTGGGAAGACAAGAAGAGCAGGGTTGAGGCAGGAGCTGGGCTGGCTGTGCGGTCACTTAGAGCAACAGGAAGCCACTGTCTCTTGTTCAGGAGGCTGAAGTTCAAGGTCAAGCGTCTGAGATCTGGGTCTTCCTGAGGTTAGGCAGGGGGTAAGGTTGCGGGGTGGGGGTGGGGCAGCTGCCAGACCCCCCACTCTGATGCTGGAGGTGTCAGGGAGCAGGTGTGCTGTTGGCACACCGGAAACCCAGAAGGTTGGAAAATGGGAATTTATGGACAGGGCAGCACCAGTGCCGCTCGCCTGTGGCAGACAGTCACTCAGGAGCTTCTGTGACGAGCTCTGTGTATTATAAACATGTGACTGGTGGGGGGGGACACCCTCCCTGGGACCCTGCTCACCCAACATCCCACAGAAAGGCCCTGGCATGTGTGTCATTACCCTGGGGGAGCCTCTTGCCCAGTAGAGCCCAGCGGTGACACTTCATGTCACTCCCTCACCCTACAGACACCTACCAGACACCCCAGGGAGAGTTGTCTCTGGCTACCAGGCTGCAGAGGACGACTTTGTCACTGGTGACTGTCCCTAGTCCAGTGGCAATGGCAGCAGGCTCCCACGCCTCCCTCACTGTCCAGGTTCGGACTGCAGCCTTGTGAGCTTCCAATGCAAAGCGACTCCCTCTTCTCAGTTGGCTTCTCTTTCTACCATGAGTGCAGACAGAATCAGCCTCATGGGGGAAAGGCTTGTTTGAGTTCACGGTTGCAAAGGTTTTGGTTCCTTCCTTGGCTCGGCTGATTCTGGACTAGTGGTGAGGAGAGCATCATGGTGGAAGGGATGTGCAGAGGACAAGGCCATTTACCCCCAGACAGACAAGAAGCAGAGAGAGAGAGGGTGGAGGAAGGACCAGGGACAACACAAGCTTTAAAGCCACACTCCCTCACCCCAGTGACATTTTCCCTCCAGCCAGCCCCTACCTTTTGCAGTTTTCATCCACTCTCCTATTAGCACCACCAGCTGGGGGCTGAGCCATCAGTGCGTGAGGCTGGGGGTGATATTTCATACTCATATCGGAACATTCTGCCCTAGGCGTCTCATGGCTCAAGTGCATTCAAATCCCCACAGCCTTTACAGTTCCAACTTTGTTCAAAAGTCTCCATTAGGTTAGTCTGAGATAGCTCCTGTAAAAATAGGGAACGAGTTACATGCTTCTGATACGCAATGGCATGGAGAAAGCATTCCTCTTCCAAGGGAGGAATGAGGGGCTGGCAAAGTCAGACCAAAGCAGGACTGAAACCCAGCAGGGTGACACTGTCTCTTGCAGCCCTGCCAGGCATCTAGACTGGGTCATGATGTGAGCTGCAAGGGCCTGGGCATCCCCACCTCTGTAGCCATGCTGTTTGTAGCCCACATGCCCTGCGGCTTGTCCTCAGCAGGAGTTTCACATTTTTGGCATCTCCAGCTACCCAGGATCCTCCTTGACCCTGTGGTTTTACTATTGTGAGGGCCCACAAAAAGTCCCTTATAAGACCACCAGTCATGTATGCAATCGACAAGAGTGTTTATTTAAAAAAAATTCCATCATGCTGGGGTCAAACCATCTGACCATGTAGCAAATAGTGACCCCGAGAGAGACAGCCTCCTTTTAAGCAGGATTAGGGGATTCCAGCTGTGGTTAAATGTCCTTTGAAGTGAATGGATATAGACCTTTACTGGTACAGTAATCATTTTAGAATTGGCTCATGACACCAGGTCAGCAAGTGTGGTTACAGTGTCAGGGGTCTGTCTGACTGAAAATAGCAAGACCAGTTCCTGCTTGTGGTCGGGTGGGACCCTGATTGCCTACCAGACTGGACATACTTCCTGAGGGTCTGACTGAAGCCAGACATGAGTCAGCATAGGATGGTGGGGTAATATGGGGCAGAGGTCTTAGCAAACTGGTCCCTGGGAAAAAAAATAAAAAAAAACAACCGGCCCTGTTAGGGTCAGTCCTGTTATAAGAGGGGATGGCTGCTTCAACTCTCACAGCTTCACAGCTTCTCAGGGGCTGCCCAGAGTGACCCTGTTCGCATCACATTCCCTGGCCTCCAAGGCTTTCCTTTAAAATCTCGGTGGAAGCCTCCATGACATGAAGACAGGGTCTCACTGTGTAGCTCTGGCTGGCCTCAAAATCACTACTTGCCTCTGCCCCCTGAGTGCTGGGATGAAAGGTGTGGCCACTGTGACTTTTGGATTCTGAATAACTCAAAACCAAGGTTGCTGCCAGCTGGGGTGCCTGCCTTGGCCCTGGGACCACAGCTGTGTGGCCTCCCAGAAGCACCTTGAAGAACACTTCACTGGGCAGCTCTGTGTGGACATAGGGTCCCTGGGCCCTTACAGAAAAGTCTTTGACATGAACTAGTCTTTCACAGGACTCAAACTGGGGGGATCAAGTGTCACCTTCAGAGGTAGCCCATCCCTCAGCTAGGTCCCATCTACTAGAGGTCTTACAATCTCCCCAAATGCCAGTGTGGGGAGGGGGCACTCAATGGGAGTGGGGTGAGGGTCACAATGTGGGAGTCACTGGGAAAAACAGTCTCAGGGAGAGGAAGAGGAGGAGGAGAAATGGAGAGAGACAGACAGACAGACACCTTATGTCCATTTGGGCTGGAAAGTGTCCAAGGGCTGTGTGCTGAAGGCATAGGAGTGGTACCCAGCCTGTGGTGCCACTGGGAGCAGGCACAATCTTTAGGAATGGGGCTAGGAGTACAAAGTCAGGTCATTGGGGATGTGCCTTGAAGAGGCCTGTGAACACTGGCTCCTTCCTCTCTCACCTGCTTCCCATTCTCACCAGCCTTGCCACAGGCCCTGGAGCAATGACAGATCACAGACTCAGCCCAAGCCAACCTTTCCTCTCTCGACACATTCCCTCCGGCACTTTCTTGTGCACCAGAAAGCTGAGCAGCGCAGCTGTGAGGCCTTCCTCCCTATTCCCAGGGGATGGCCATTCTCTTCAGAGTATTCGAATACCCAAGTGATTGGATGCAGGGCATGAATAAACCCAGCAAGCAGGAACAATGTGACTTCAAATTTGCCCCCACTATGGTTGGACTTTGTTTGCACTGCCAGCTCCTGAATAATGACGTGGAGATTTTTATTAATTATGAAAGCTTGGCCTTAGCTTAGGCTTGTTCCCAACTAGCTCTTAAGTTAACCAGTTTATTTATTTATTTGTTTATTTTTATTTTATTTTATTTTATTTTTTTGGAGCTGAGGATTGAACCCAGGGCCTTGAGCTTGCTAGGCAAGCTCTCTACCACTGAGCTAAATCCCCAACCCCAAGTTAACCCGTTTATATTAGTCTACGTTCTACCACATGGCTCGTTCGTTATCTCTCCTCAGTACCATATGTCTGACTTCCTCTGCGTCTGGCTGGGAATCTTCCCACCTCAGATTCTTTCCCTGAGTTCCCATCTCTGCCTGGAAGTCCCACCTATTCTCTCCTGCCTAGCCATTGGCCATTCAGCTTTTTAGTAAACCACTCAGAAGGTGCCTTAGGCAGATGGGGAAGGACAGACATACATTTTCACACAGTGTACACAAAGATTACCCCAACACCACTGTGTTCAGAGATCCTTCTCTTGGGGTTACTTCTCAACTCTTCCTGTGGAGAGCTCATCTGGAGTAGGATGGAGCTTGTCTTTGCAGCCTGTGGAGAGTGTCTTTTCCTGTTACCGGCTTTCCTGGCTGGTCTCAATGATGCTTACCTAACCCTTCAATGTTAGTGGTCTACTGGGAGCCCAGCCTTGTCCTCACCATCCTGGGGGGCTGTTCACATGATGTCTTTTTGCTTGCCTCCTCAGCCAGGTCTTGAGCTCTGATGTGACCAGTGTCGACACAGTAGAGGTTGAAGCTCACACTCTCATGATCTGAGGCAGGCAGGGTGGAAACCTCTTATCATGGCTTCCTGACCTGGAACCCCCGGCCCCCCAGCATGTGTCCTCAGGCTATAACCATGTCGAGAGACTATCAGACAGACACACCTGCCTTAGGTTTGGTCCCAGTGTCCTGACTTGGCATTGGAGAAGCTTTCTGTGCCTGGCTTTACAGGCAAGGCCCCCAGGGCCATGATAGACTGAATATGAAGACCCAGGACATTGCAGAAAATGCACACATCCAGCCCACAGCTCCTGATATGAGCACTTTATTGAACACAGCAGTGGACTTGTCACATTTGGTGTGAGTGCATGGTCAAGAGAATGGGCTTCTGGGGCTGTTCTCTGTGTCACAGAGGGAACTGCAGGGGGAGGGGCCAGGTGGCACCTTCAAACCCCATCAGGCAGCAGCTGTGTAGCCCCAGTCCATAGTGAGACGACTCTGGTGGCCCCGGGCGGCTTCTAGGGGCTCCTGAGAGCGGAGAATCGCTTAAAAGCAGACATAGCCTGCAAAGGCTGAGAGATTCAGCCTGTCAGCAGCTGGAGAGGCCACAGCAGGCCTGGCGGGAGCAGGCAGGTCGGCAGAGCAGGGAAATGCTGGAGCAGGGCTTGCAGCAGCTGGGCTGGCAGGAGGAGGCACAGCAGGAGGAGGTGGGCACACAGCAGGCAGGTCTGCACACAGGGCGGCAGAGCAAGGAAATGCTGGAGCAGGGCTTGCAGCAGACAGGCTTGCAGCAGACAGGCACACAACAGGATGGCTGGCAGCATGAGGGCTGGCAGCTAGACTGCTGGCAGCATGAGGAGGATCCAGAGCAGATGGGTGTGCAGCAGACAGGCTTGCAGCAGACAGGTACACAGCAGGAAGATTGACAGCATGAGGGCTGGCAGCTAGACTGCTGGCAGCATGAGGAGGATCCAGAGCAGATGGGTGTGCAGCAGACAGGCTTGCAGCACAGGGTCACACAACAAGGTGAGGGGGTGCAGCATGAGGGGGTGCAGCAGCTGCTGCAGGCAGATTGGCAGCAGGGGCTGGACACACAGCTCACTGGGGTGCAGATGAGGGTCAGGCAGGAGGCTGGGGCACAGCAGCTGGGCTGGCAGCAGCTGGGCATGCAGCAGCTGGGCACACAGCAGCTGGGCTGGCAGCAGCTGGGGGCACAGCAGGTAGGCTCACAGCAGCTCTCTGGGCAGTCGTCCACCTGCCAGGAGGAGTCAGTACAAGAATCACAGGAACCGGGCAGGCAGACCCGGCTGTTGTAGCTCAGGTCACTGGAGCAGATGGACATGGTGGAGGTGGCCATGGCGGGCAGGTCTGGTAGGAGCTGTGAGAGTGTGAGTGTGTGAGTGTGAGTGTGTGAGGGGCTGCTGCCAGCTTTTATACCGCCCTGGGCTGGTGTTGTCCTGGTGAGAAACTTCTCAGGCTTTCCTTCCTGCTTACTGGCTGGCTGGGGCCCCTCATTAGCGCTGGTCATCTGCAGTGTGCACGCCTCACCTGTGTTTGTTTTTGTTTCGACTCTGCTGAAGGCCTGGAAAACATTTGAGGCCGCTCCCCTTGAGAGGTTTTGGAGGTGAGCAGGGCTCCATGGATTCTGGGGTTGTTACCCTGTGCTTGAGTGACTGGGACCTATTATTATTATTGTTATTACTATTGCTTTAAACATTTTAAAACATAGGCAAAATAAAAAAAAAAAACGCATGTTACATAATACAACTCACTGGGGGCTTAATAACAGCTTTCCCACCCCCTTTCCCTCTCCAAATGTTGGCAAGATGCAAGTCTTATACAACACAGTTGACTCAGACAGAGATTTGTTGATAGGAGGCTGTGTGTACATTGTGAGGGAGACTTTCCTGGGTAGGGTGGCATCTTCCCTCAGCTGTGCCTGGCCCTCCAAGACACTCAGCATTTCCAGTGAGACTCTGAGCCTTTTTTTGTTTTCTTTTTGGCCAGAGACTCCACATCCTGCAATGGCCACACTTCAGAAGCTCCTGACCTGCCTGCCCACCCACCCATGCCAGGATAGTCTGGCTGGGTATAGAATTCTGGATTTGGAGCTGGGTGGTGGTGGCACACGCCTTTAATCTCAGCACTAGGGAGGCAGAGGCAGGCGGATCTCTGTGAGTTCAAGGCAGCCTAGTCTACAGAGTGAGTTCTAGGACAGCCAAGGTTGTTACACAGAGAAACCCTGTCTCAAAAAACAAACAAACATACAACAACAACAACAAAAACCCGATCAAACAAAATTCTGGGTTTGAACCAGTGTCCCTCGAAGCCCAGGTGATGATGCCTGTTTTCTTGGTGCCCATGTCCCTGAGCAGAGACAACTGGGGTTTCCTGACTGTTTTCTCTGTCTTTCAACTTCTGTCTGTTCCTTCCTTCCTTCCTTCCTTCCTTCCTTCCTTCCTTCCTTCCTTCCTTCCTTCCTTCCTTCCTTTCTTTCTTTCTTTCTTTCTCTTTCTTTCTTTCCTTCCTTCCTTCCTTCCTTCTTTTTCTTCTTCTTTTTCTTCTTCTTCTTCTTCTTCTTCTTCTTCTTCTTCTTCTTCTTCTTCTTCTTCTTCTTCTTCTTCTTCTTCTTCTTCTTTTGGTTTTTCGAGACAGGGTTTCTCTGTGTAGCTTTGCGCCTTTCCTGGAACTCACTCTGTGGTCCCCTTGATTACAAGCTCTCTCTCCTCAGTTACCCAGACTTCTAGACCCCACACAGAGAGTGGTCATCAGTTTCCAGATCGGAACACTAGGCTGTTTGACCCTTGTGCACTGGGTCCACCCGTCATGAGCTGACATTTTAGACATTGTATGGCAGTGAGTTGGGGCTGTTTGTGCCTGCATTATTTCACTTTGTCAATGAAGTCTCAGCCTGTTGTCACACATGGCGGCACCTCCTCTTTGTAAAAGACTAAACCTGTTCCCCCATTCATCTGATGCTCCTCCACCACTTGGCTGCGGTGAATTGTGCTGCGGTGGCCGAGGTGTGTGGGAGTGTCGGTGTCTCTTCCACAGGTCCACAGCTGAACTTCTGGGGCACCGGGTGACCTGAAGTCTTTAAGGAGTGTCCATAACGGCATGATATAAAGTAAGAGACTCCAGGATGCTACACATGGTGTGGGAGAAGTCCTTCCCGTGGCAGACCCCTTTAAAACCACCCGAGGCCACGTCTGAAGAGTCAGACTAAAATCTTCATTGTGTCAGTCCCACGCTGTCCTAGTCCACCTAAAACTAAAAACTCCCGCACTCACTCCTGCTCCCATTTGATGTGTTTATTTCATTAGATTTTCCTTTAAAACTCCCTTGGTCCATTGAAAAGGCCAGCTCCATATCTCACTGTTACTTATTTACTACTTTGGGGTTGGGGGTCAGGTGAGGGCTGCCACACCAGCCATTTTAATTCTCTATGAAATGACAATCACGTGGACACTGCCAGGTTAGACAGAGGTCCTGACTCACACACCTGCCCTCTCCCATACAGATCAATCTCTGAGGCCACTGTGGCAGATCTGGGCATCCTATAGCTTTGCAGAGAGGGCCGGCCTTCCTTCTGTGGGGTGACTGGGCGTTCCCTCAGGGTGTCGGGAGCAGCAGGGGTGTACCTGAAACTTCCTTTTCTTTTTTTTAGGCAGTAACTCCTGTAGCCCAGGCTGGCCTCACCATGTAGCCAAGGTTCAGTCCAAACTCTTTTTCCATATCCCAGAGGTGTGTCACCATCTTGGGCTTGTGACTGGTTCGCTCTTCTGGTGAGCTCATCTCTTTCTAGAACCTTGTACCATGTCTGTGGCCACCACCCCTCCCTGCCCCCATGCTCCCCATTCCCAGCACCATGATGCTTTCCTCAGCTCTGGTCTCACACATCCCTTCAGCTTCAGGAAGCTTCTCATCTTACAGTCTGAGTGCTCCTGTCCTTGATTCTGGCTCCTGCCTTCCCCATTCTGATCTCCTGATCCGAATCTTAGCAGCAACGCCCCCTCCACACCCCACTCAGCTGTATCACATACTCCATCCACCATGCGCCCTGTTGGCAAGCACCCTCACCTACGGGCTGCTGCTTTAGTTTCCAGAACTCCGGGTGTCTTCCTCCCTCCCTCATACCTTCCTCCTCCCTTTCTCCCTCCCCATCCTCATTCTTTAGGATAGCACCATCCTGCTCTTAGTCCACAACCTCCTGTGTCTACCTGTTTTACTTTCCAGAAGTTTGAAAACTCCAGAATGAAAAAGGGCAGAAATAAACCACAAAGGCTTTTACAATTATTTTTATTATGGCACATTGTTGTAACTGTTCCTTTTGGTACGTAGTTCATCTTCTGAGTCTAGCTTCCTTGGAGGTGCCAAGGCATTGGAAAACCCTCAGGCTGCTGCTTAGTCCTGTCCAGTGCTTCAGGCACCTGCGAGTGTCTTGAGGTTGCTGTCCTGGCTCCTGTATGTCCCTGGGTTGTGTATTGTCATCTGCTCCAACTTTGGCCAAGTCTCTTGCTGACAGCCAGGTTTGTGGCAAGGGTCCCAGTCCCTTGGTCATATTTCTGAAGTGACCCCATTACAGGGGACTGAGTGGGAGGTGGCTTGTTTGTCCCTTGCTGGGCTGGAGGTGACATCTATCTGGGTTGCTCTTCTTCAAGAATAGGCACACTCAGCCAAAGACCCCAGGTACCCACAGCTATCCTCTGTGCTCGAACCTGGCTTTGCTGTCCTGTTTCCATCAGGTTCAACTTCAGAGTTAGCCTTCAGCCTTAAGTGTCTGTGGCCATGGGTTCTATGTTCTCAGACAGTGCCCTAGTTAAGGTGAACGGACACGGCTATCAGCCACAGGGGCCTAATGATGGCCTGCGGCTCCTATGGGTGGGTTTCCTGAGAAGTGCTTAGGGTGCCATGGAGCCATGGCTTCAAGGGCATGGCCAAGGGTGTCAGAACATCCTCATAGCACTTGGCTGTCTTCAGTGTATGTACCTTAGCTCACCCCAGGCTCCTTATCCCTAAGTGGTCTTTCTGTCAACCCCTGGCCCACCTGTGACACCCACTGTCATGATTTGTATACAGAATGCCCCCCCCCCAAGTTCATGTGTTGAATGTCTGGTCTCCAGGTGGTGGTGCTGCTGGGGAGCTGAACAAAACATTAGGTCATTGTCCTTACTGGAACAGAGGAAGTAGGCCACTGGATGTGGGCCTTTCCAGGTTCTTCCTGCCCCTCCTCATTTCTGCTTCCTGCAGGCCATGAGGGAAGCAGCCTTGGCCCTGTGCTTGGGGTTGTGTGGCGTTCTGTCTTATCATAGACTCAGAATGAACGGGGTGAGAGCTGGGCCCTCTGAAACCGTGAGTCAAGAGGACTTGGCCCCCTCGGCTCTCTGCGCCGGGCATTTGTCTGACTGGTCTGTGCACCTGCTGTCCGTCTCCGAAGTCCCTGTTACGCATACTCCACACGTGGCCTCATGCCGTCTTATCAAGCATGGTGCTTCCCAAGGTGGCTCCACCTGGCTGGCTCCTCCACAGCCATGGGATGTTTCCTGGATGGTCAGTCCACACACATTTATCCACTCCCCTGCTGATGGACACTTGAATAATTCCCTGTTGTCTGCTGCCAGAACCTCAGTGCACACTGCTCTAGATGGACGGATGTTTTCATTTCTCCCAGGATGATGCCTGGGCCTGGGCTGGCAGAGTTCCAGGGTCACCCTGTGATTAACAGCTTTGGAAGCTGTCTGCTAATATGGCCAACAAGGAAGGAGGCTCCTAGGAGACACGGGACACACTTCCTGGCTGGCACACCAAGGTGAGGCCCTGTGTTTTAGGTGTCAGCATGCAGAGGTGAGGGTGGCAGACAGAGGTCACAGTGAGTCCTTTCCTATCCGCCTTCTGTGCCAACCCCATGGCCACTGGGCACCAAAGAGGGACAGACACACGTTGGGGGAAGTGGAGCCTTACCTGTTGGCTACTCAACACCCGCAGCAGGATGTGACCACTATGGCCCTCTGGAGCCTCTTATCTATGGCCACATAGATTTGCCCCTCAGGAAGGTGGACAACACTGTATCATTTGGTCTCTGGTGCTGGGATGCCCCTGGTGGTTGTCTCAGGTGGTCTTCTGAGTGAGGGGAGGGAGGTGGCTCCCTGAACACAGGAGGCCTATGTGTGAGGACCTGGGTCTGGTGGCACCGTTGGTGTCACCCAGTGTGTTATTCGTTCTTCTTGTTGCTGTAACAAAACACCTCACAGGAAGCAACTTCAGAGCAGAAAAGGTTTGTGTGGCTCACGGTTCCTGGGGACATAGTCTGTCATAGTGGGGATGGCACAGTGGCAGGAGAGTGAGGCAGCTAGCTGGTCAGCTGCGTCTGCAGCCAGGAAGGGGAGAGAGAGAGAGAGAGAGAGAGAGAGAGAGAGAGAGAGAGAGAGAGAGAAGAAGAAGGAGGAGGAGGAGG